TCCTCTCTCTCTCTTTTTTAAGAATCCCAAACAGGGCATATTCCTATAATTTACTCTTAATTATACTTTGTTATAAATTAAATCAATATTTAAAAAGTATGACATCAATAAAGGTATTAATGGGGTAATGGCTTCTCTTCTGACAGGCAGGTCTTCAATTTGCACGGTGCAGATGTGGAATTACACCATCAGTATGTATTTGGGCTATGCAGCAATGTAAACTGCACACATTCTTTCCCCTTTTAACCAGTTCACCTTGGCTTAGTGCATGGACGTGGCAACAGTGAATCCTAATTCTCTTGCTTTCCCACTGAAGTCTAGGGGAATCCCTCAAATGGAGCAGCTCTTTATGCGTGTCCCTGCATCCAGGCAGCTGCCCAGATGGGTGATCCCCATTAGACCCCAAGCAGCCGGCCTTTAGGAAGTCATCTGAACTGGGTTCCTTAAAGCATAAGCAGCCAGACTCAGGAGCAACTTGGATTTCTACTGCAAATTTAGAAGGAGCTGCCAGTTAGAAAGTAGTTTCATTTCCCACACTTTCCGCTTTTCCTTTCTTATGACCAGCGTGACATCGGGAAAGAAAAGCAGTTGAGCTTTTTCCTAAACAATGTTCTTTCTTGCAGGACTCTCTGCCTGCTGCTGTTCTTACTGAAGTCAATAACATAATTACCAGTAAATTAAAGGGGATCAAGAGGAGGCTCTCATCCCCTGCAGGAGCATACAGCGAAGTGAAGCTGCATCTGCCTGCACTTAACCTTGCAACTTCAATTGCCAGTTTGGGATCTTGGAGCAGGTCCTCCCTGTTTAAGGCAGGGTGCAAGCTCTGTTTTTTACATTCACAAAGAGGGATGCCTGCTTTCTTACTTGTTTGTTTATTTTAATTACTCTTAAGTGCCTATTCTGGTCTCTCTCTTCAGTTTTATGAAATTAAAGTCCACGGTATGAAACTCAACACCTCTTGAGAGAAAGAGCTGCAGTTCTCACTCACAATAATAATAGTAATAATAACAATACGTTTTAATGAAGTCAGGGATTGGGATTATATAGTCTTTACAACTGCCTTGCAGTGAAAGCACTTTGTTTTTTCCAGACTCCTGCGTTTGGTTTTTCTGAGGTTCTGCTTTGCCTGCATGTGTCTTTGATTGAACGAATGACTGACATGTTTTCCTCCAGAGTGGTGGGGTCACCAGTTTTTAAGTAGGACCATCACAGTTTCAATTGTAATTTCCACTTCCCTGTGTTGTTTCTCCATGGCTGTTGTGAGGCCTGCAGATCATCACTTTCAGTGTTTGCTTCCTCTTGGTGGTTTTGAATAAAACTCTTTTCAGCTGGAGTCTCTGGCCTAACATCCTGGACAGCCTTGCATTTGTGCCTAGGAGATCCCACCAAGACAGCTGCAAGGACAGTGAGGTGACTGGAAAATATCTTCTTTCCCTTCCCTGGCACTTGGGGCAGTTTTCACATGGCCAAGGGTGTGAAAAAAATAAAGCAGACTTTAACTGAGCTTCCACTCTTTTCTGTGTACACATCACTTCAGAACAGGGCCGTAAGCTGCCCTCGTTTTGTAGGTGCAAGTGTAACAGCTGTGACTTAGTGGATGCTGACACAGGTTTGTGGTACCTATGGCAGAGTCACAAGGACCCACTGAGGAGAATTAGCTGTTGTCAGCTGAGAGCGTCTGCACCCTTTCTGCTATATCAAGAGCAAAAGTATGTCTTTGCTGTAACCAGTAAAGACTATCCCAGTAACCACAGTTGTGTGCTGTCATACAAAGATCTGAGTGACCTACTGCTTTTCTGCATTTCAAGAGATGATAAACCTGAACCTGCTCCCATACATGTATTTTTAATATGTGAAAATACCTTCATCTTGCTTCTCAAAAAGACCCAGTCTGACCCTTTTTTATTTTTTCTGTGTTGGCTGGGGAGACCCAGCAGGTATGAGCTTAGGGCAACACAGCAGTGCAGCAGGAGGCAGGCTATCGGCGTGTGCAGCCTGCACAGCCAGTTTTTGGCTCCTTATACGGTCAGACTTGTTTGTTCCCTCGTTGTGTTTGCATGGATGTTGTCGTGTTTTAAAACTCCTCCAAAGGCTGCTGTATTCCAAAATATAAGGGCTCAGGGCACATTCTGATTTCTAAATAAAAGTTTGGGGAGCGGGAAAAAAATGTGTACAAAATAAGCTCAATTCAGTAAAAAAAATATATATATATATAAATAAAAATGAGGGGAGAACCATGAATGGTTTTAAAATACAGCTTTTTTGATTGTATCCTCAATTTCAGTTTATCTGCCAAATTGCACTAAAGAAAAGGAAACTGTATTTATATAACCAAAGAAAAGCAAACTGTGTATTTATATAACCAAAACCAGAGGCAATTGCAAGAAGAAAATCACAGATTTGCCAAGTCAGAGTTGTTCTGGTAAGGGAGATGGAGAAAATGGAAGTTTTACTGGGGGTAAAGGACACGCCTCTCTACTGAAATACAGCTCCTGCCAGTGCTTGCAACTTTGGGGGGAACTTCTTTGGTAGGAGGAAAGATACTGGATTCAAGTCTGGATTGGAGGCAGAGTTACCCTGAATGCTGTGAGAGATTCCATGCCCACCGAGGGGATTTGAGGCTCTTCAGTTTCAATGGGATGCTCGTTTCAGGGGACTGGGTTGTTTGAAAGGATGACAGATTGCCTTTCCAAATTTGACTGTAGTAAATACTTTGAAGTCAATTGGAGTGGGTTGTTTATCTTTAGAAACTGGCCAGATTTACTAATTCCAAAAACTGATATAGACAAGGAGTAAGTTTAAGAGATCAGCAATAAAATTATAATTACTCTTTGCAGACCACTTAATATACTAAAGCCATTGTTTGTTCCTTGAAGTATAAACATAGTAAACTAGAAGTAAACTTGAAGTAAACTAGATCCCATTAATTTGGTGCTAACAGATATTTTTCTTCATCGTGGAACTGTGTTGCAAAATTCTCAATTTGCAACCAAATTGTCAATGTAACATTCGAGTTCTGAAGATGCCATTAAAAGATGATTGAGCTTAAATCTAGTTGTACGTGATTCAGTTCCTGAGTCTGCAGACAGCCTTAAGCAATAACTCGGGTCCTGTTCATGCCATAGGGCTATATTAGCTCTGACAGCTACAGATTGCAGTTTTGGAATCATCTCCTTAGCCAAAACAACTAGCTAATATACTGGTAACACAACAGTGTACTCCTTTTCTCAGGTTCAAAAGTCACTGCTATTCTCTAACCAATTTCTAAAACCTTGCTCATTAGGGAGTCACCCGGGAGCTTCTCATCCACCCAAATGCCCTACTCCTGCAGCTGTCCCAGGTAGATTACAGGGCATGATGTACCTTAGCTTTAACGCTGCAGAAATCCGAATATAATGAGAATATATAGGGTTATTGAGGGGTTGGGAGAAAACCTTTCTCCCAGTCTGTCCTTTCTGAGCTTTTAGGGAGAATTGCATGGAGCTCAGAGTGTTTGTTTTAGAAATAACAAGCCTTGGGCTTACCCAAAATTTGATTGATGCTGGCTCAGCTACTTTCAGTTAAAATATCACTGTGTAAATACTCGAGTTTTTGTATATTGGTGGCATTGTTGTGGGTGTAACACTCCTATTCTAACATAACTGTGCCAATGAGGCCAAAGAAATTGGGCAAGCCTTCTTTTAGTTGGTTTGTAAAGCTCAAGGAGAGCAAGAGGGATATGGGGAGGAGTAGGGCTGTCCATCCAATGTGGCCATGGGAGGGAGTGAATGGTATATCTGACTAGAGGGGAGATGTTGGCACCCCACTGTGCTAGTGGGACTGGGCAAGGATGGTCCAGCTCGGAGAGGGCTTTGTCATCAATGTCAGCTCCATAGCTGTGTCTTCTCCACCTGTGAAATACCCTCCAGCTAGCGTATTTCAGGTATTTCAAGTGTCAGTTACAAATCTGAAGTGAGGTGGCAGTGCAGCTAACCCCAATGCAAGTTTTCCTTGAATCTTATTTATGTTTTCCACAGAAATGTGGTCTTTATAACATCAAATGCAATTTTAAAGAAAACAATTTAAAATTTGCTGTTTAATTTCAAATATTCTTCTCTTGTTCTTTTCCTTGATTTGTTTTCCCAGCTTAGTAGAGATTTCCTCCCATGCAGTAGTTCAGTGGCTTGTACCCCTGAGCCTGGAAGACCTTTATAAGAGTTTTAACCCTGGAGCTTCAGTCGTGCACAGATTAAACAAATGAGAATGATAGAGCTGATCCTGTTCAGCCATAAATCTTTAAATCTGACTTGAGAGAGCATGTGCTGCTCATGGAATGAGGTGGCACTGCGATAGCTCAGGGTGTCCAGAAAGGAATGCCCAGGCTATATTTCCACGGGCACAGGGTTTATTTTGTCCTTGTGATCCCTGTTATTCAAATGTACACACACAACCAAAAAACATTTTCTCCCACACCCAACCCGTCGGTCATTCAAAATGTCCATGGCGCTGGGCTCAGGTGGGACAGCATTTTCATATGGAGCAGTTCAATATTTGGCAGAAAGTTCCTATGTCAAAGAACCTTTACAGTTTTAAAGAGACAATTTCATTTTTAGGAATTGCTTGTTAAAAATGCTCGTCACACAGAGATGTTGAGGTACTTTGTTAGGTGGATTTACTGTAATCTGAATAAAGCAAGGAATCAGTTCAGACAGTGGAAAAGTATTATGCATTTTTTATTTTTATTAGAGATGGAAAAATGAAGGTGCTACCAGTCCCAGGAAACAGATAAGCATCTGGTCTGTTTTTAATTATTAAAGCAATTGTAAGAAATGTAACAAGCATTCATTGGTCTATCATAATTATTCAATGTTGGGATAAAACTTTAGTTCCTATGGCTTCTGGAGATGCTTGTTGCAATCTGTATTGCTCTATTAGCTTGGTATCCTAGTGAGCATGTTTCCTATTTGCTCCCATGGGTGAGATTTAAAGGTATGATGGAGCACTGTTTTCACTTTTCACAGGATGAGCTGGATGAACTTCGAGCTGAAATGGAAGAAATGCGCGACAGTTATTTAGAGGAAGATGTTTACCAGCTGCAGGAGCTCCGGCGAGAGCTGGACCGGGCAAATAAGAATTGCCGCATTCTGCAATATCGTCTCAGGAAAGCAGAACAGAAAAGCTTGAAAGTTGCACAAACAGGCCATGTGGACGGAGAGCTCATTAGGAGCTTGGAACAAGATTTAAAGGTAGGTGAGAGATTCATATTCACAGCAAAAGAGAGCAGAGCGGGACTTGGCTCCCTATACTGGAAGCAAAGGTGACATACGAAACAGGCAGTAGTTCTCAAAATGTCAGGACCAATTTCCTTCTTCTGTGGTGGAAAACAAATGTTCAGCTTATCATCATAAAAAGATGTGTTAGCAAGTGAAAAAACATGTGCTTAGCCTCAAATGAAAGAAATGCTGTCGAGTTAGATTTGTGCACTTGAAAGATTTAAAGGGCTTTGTTTTACTGGCTTTACTCAAAACTTTAGATGTCCAAAACTGTATAAACAAAACTTGATATGCTTTTCCCAGTTCATACTGTTTCCTTCCTTTCATTTCTTGCTTAAGTCAAATAACTGAAAAAAAACTTGTCAAAGGCACATTTCTTCTGGCCTAACAAGCTATTCTTTTTGAGTCTCATAGAGAAGCAGACTGTTACAGCAGTTTAGGAGGGCAGATAGAGAATAAAAATACTATTCCCATAACTCAAATTCCTGTAAAATCTGTTCATACTGAAACAGTCTTTATGTTTTTTCAGAAATGTTTCTGTTGAGGCTAAGGTTTGCATAAGCATGATGCTTATCTAGCTTTCCTTGTTCTCTTTCTGACTATTGCTACCATGCAACTGTTTTGAAAATATCTTACTGCTGGAATTATTAAGCACCTGGTTCTCGAAACTACAAAACATAAAACCTTCTGAAACTGGAATTATTGGTTCCCAGCAGTGGAAATCCACATGATGTATCAAGTGATCAAACCTTTCAAAATGCCAGACATAATTTTCTCTTTTATTGTATTAAACAAATGATAACCTTATCATAATATAAATAATGCATTAGTCAGTAAAAACCTTTTCTGTAAATCCAAGTAAAAGAGATATTGAGTTTCTTTGTCTGCTTTGTTTTTGCTGAATTGTTGTAATTCAGTAATTCATCATTTCTTGTGATGAATCACCATTCTGAATGTTTTTGGAGTAAATATTCTTTCCTGTTAGGCTGGACTCAGAAAACCTAAGCTAGCATATATTTCTTTCTTATCACTCTTGCCAAGTTGTGATTGCTGCTAGAGAAGCAAATTCAGGTGAATGAGACTTTTGCATGGATGTGGCTTTGATCAATGACCTGTCAACTTTGCAGCACAATATCTTTTGTTTTATCCGTGTGTTATGCTGGGACTTTGATGTGCTTAGTATCTGCTTCGTATCTGCTTGTTTCCTCCTGCTGTCCATGACACTGCCTTAGCATAATGTGGAGGGAGAGCTGGAGATGTGTAATCAAATATATTTTCATCTTGGATTTATTTTTTAGAAATGAATATTCATTTTGGTATTTGGAAGGCTTGAAACCTTTCATCAGCAGTCTCATAATTGAATTGAAAATCTCTTGGCTGTCTCTTGGACGTTTTCTGCTGTAGCAAACATGCTGTAGGTGTTGCTCCTCATGGATCTGCTTCATGTGTTTGTGCTTCTCTGACCAGGTAGCCAAAGATGTTTCTGTCAGACTGCACCATGAGCTGGAGAGTGTGGAGGAGAAACGTGTTAAAGCAGAAGATGAGAATGAAGTCCTTCGACAGCAAATCATTGAGGTGGAAGTATCAAAACAGACACTGCAAAATGAGCTGGACAAGTTAAAAGAGGTAAGCAATAACCTGGAAAATCATGCAGAACGGTGTTGATGGGTTAGATGAGAAATTTGGCACTCAAGTGTCTTAGACTAATTCTTGCATGAAATGCCTGCAGATATTGCTTGTACAGTTGTCTTGAAGCTCTCCTTGCCTTTGTTATACATCCCAAGTGTGTTGGTACTTTAGAAGCAATAGAGAGGTAGGCGAGTGGTGTTGGGGGTTTTCTCCAGGGCTTCTCACAGGGCTTCTGTCCCATTTTAACCTAGTTCCTCATGGCCTCTTCCTACTGGAGCAAAGCTAACTTTGATTCAAGGCCAGCTATCTCTGACTTTCCTTTACCCAGACTGGGACTTCCACCTATTTTAGAGTCAAATGAAGTGTGTGTGACTCATCCCTCAGAGGTTAGTTCAGATAGGCGAGCCGCCGTTTTGGCTGGTGCTCTTCAGTGGTGACAGTGGGAGCCACCAGCATGAGTTAGGCGGCAGGAATGTGGTCTGTAATGTATAAATAACATTTGCACTTCAGGCACAGAAACGCTGTCTGTTGAGAAAAGGGATCACCGATGGGAGCTGACAAGTAGTCATACTGGGTGAAGTGAAGATCCTTGGAAGCAAGCAAGCTGAGGTGCAGGGGACAATAAAGGAGAGCCAAATAATAAATGTGGCTCCTTGCTGGAGCCAGTATCCCAGTCTGTAGCAGTATTTCTGTTCTCTTACCCATACAGCAGATTGGCAGCTCATGGTCTCTGCTCTGTTTTAAACGAGATTGAGGTAGAACATTTAAACTTAATGAGGTAAGGCATTTATCCTCTGAGCCCTGGTCAGATTTAGAGAGCCAGTGCAATTATGTGTTATTTTAATCTTTCAAACAATGTTTGCAAATCAGCTGGCACAAAGCCTGATTCAGTTTTATAAGGACAACCCCTATTTTATTTCTTTGTAAATTTGAGTTATAAGGATGAAGGAGCCCAGAGCAGGAGTTTTGGAGCATTTTGTACATAATGGGGAAGATTATCAGAAGGTGTTGTTATGATAGTTTAGATTACTTAGGAGTAATCTAGGAGTGTCCTCTAAGGAAGACACAAAAGAAAGGTCTGGATGATGTTTTATCTATTCTTCTTTCTCAATGTTATTTGTGAATGCTTTGCTTAATGGGCGTAGTGCCATGTTACAGGGTATGCAATATATATTCCACACAAAAATGCCGGTACCTGATGTATTGTTTGATGTTGATTAACTCACAGCCTGATAGATACTGCGTGATGGTCTTTGGGATTAAACCATTCAAGAAGCTAGTTTGCGGGTGTGCATTCTCAAAGTAGCTCTGGCCAGGCTAAATTTACCCTGCTTCCTAGGTTACTGCAGCCAAGCAGAGCAGGGAGGCCCAGCTAACTCGCCTACCTGTCCCTCTGCTGCTCTGCAAGTAGAAATGATGTATTCTTATTTAGGAAGCAGATTTCCCCACCTAAGATGTCTTTGCATCTTTGCTGGTAAAGAGCTAGGAAAGGAGAAGCAGGCAGGTGTAATGATGATATGCGCTCATGCCGACCTGGACACACAGTGAGGCATAAGATGTAGTAGTCCTTAAAGATGTATTCTGCTTTTTCATACCACAAGTGGTGTTTTTTCTGGGAGGCAGAAAAAAAAAAAAATCACAAGGTCACTGTGGTTTAGAAGATGGACGTTTAGATCCTTGGCAGGTCACACAAGGACAGATGAGCCAAAAGTTTGAGGAGCATAGTGGTAGTTGTGCCAGATGAGTGTGTAGTTGCAAAGTTGTTGACATTGCTGAAAAATACCCTAAATAAATAAATAAATAAATAAATAAAGCCGAGTTCTTCCCTCAAAACGTATTGAAATAACTACCAGAAGTGATTCCTCTTTAGAAGCATTTAATGTGTACACAGCCCTAAAAGAATATGTAACAGATGTGCCAGTAGGAAAACTAGTTCTTTATATGTCAGGAGAAAAGTGACCCAAAGGCCATATAGCTTCTTCCCATTCCACTCTGCCTGTGCATCTTGTCTATCCGAAGGCTGCCACTTTGAAGGGATATCTTTCCTGCTCTGTCCTGGAGCATTGCCCAAGACCCAGTTAAGCAGTGCTTGCTCTCTCCATATGCCCGTTTTCTGTAATATCCTTGACTATTCACTGCCCTCCTCTATCTTCTGATCAACAGAAAGATTTTCTCACATCTGAGTTTGTGTTCACAGTTTATTTCAGTGAAAAACTTCTCCTTTGTCCTGTTATACAATTCCCTCAGGTCCAATTTCTTACTGCAGTGAAAGGCACATATGTTGGTTATCTTTAATGTATTTTTCATGCTGAAATATCTTTAAGAATTGTACACATCTCTGAAAACACTCTTTAAAGCTATCTTCATTTGTATTGTAATTGTTTGAGGAATTCCTAAACATTTATGATGTTCAGTGGAGTTACATATTATTTCATCCCCATACCTATTTCTATCTTCTGTGATACTTCCAACAGGATTTTTAATCTCTCTCAAAAATGTCTTCCAGTTTTAACTGGGAAATTTATTTTTGCCTCATCCAGAGCGTATATTTTCAAATTGTCATATTAAGTAGATATGAGACAAGCTTTCCTCTTTAGTCACTAAATAACATTTCTCAGTGTGTCTCAGCTTTGCAATTAATAGAAGCAAAATTACTACAAAGAGGAAGGGTGACAAGAAGTCACCTGCCACGTCCATCACACTGTTCTTATCTCCTGCTCTGCTGCTGTGTTGTAGTTAATGCAATTCTCTTCCCAGTCCCGGACACTTCTGAATTCCTATTTCATGACATGCTTTCAGAAGCTTTTGCATAATCTATCAAAAACACATCTAGATTGTTTTGTTTTGTTCTGGCATCTGCCAGGTACCTCCTGTCATCAAAATATTCTGGTTTTCACTGATTGTTCCAATAAAGAGCTTCCAGATCACAGATGAGTTATGGGTTTTTAAGTAAATGCCACCTCTCTTTCTTTTTCCTTTTTTCATAAGCGTGCTCCATCCCTCCAGTCTTTTGCAACAGTTCCTGTAGATGTGTTTTGAGGTAAAATATAAATCAGTTAGGGCTTTTGACCAGTAGTTGTGTATTTTATCCAGTTCTGAGGTTTGCCAACTAGATACCATTCTTATTCTTCTCTAAATGTTTTCATCAGCACCCTGACATTCACTTTGTTTAATCATGCCACTGTAGTTCATTATTTTCAGTCCTCTCAGCCAAAGAGCCATAAAGTGATAGGGTGCTTTCCTTTCCCATAATTATTTTCTCCCCCTCTCCCTTTTTTTTTTTTTTTTTTTTGGCTACTATGTAGCTCAGCACTCTTGCCCGAAATACTTCTACTGGTTCTTTTGAAGCTATTTCTTCCACTGGGTAATAATATTTCTCTGAATATTTTTTAACTTTACTGACTGTGCCAAGTTGTTCTAATTCTGTCTGTTCCCAGTGCTCCAGCACTGTGGTTCATTGATTTTTTTTTTCCCACAATTATATTCACCTGCTTTCAGTTTCCCTTCTTCAACTCTTCCTTTTTTTATTACCATAGCCTTTTCAGCTGGTTTTAGGCCTCCCTCTGACGCCTTTTTTTGTGGCAGCTGCTTATTACTTTCTTCATCAGAGCTTCAGAGTTTTCCTACTGCTGTGAGCACTTCTTTGTAGTACATCCTTTGCAAAATTGGCATGTCCCTAAGAGCTGTGTCTTCTAGGAAATCTGCTAGGATCTTCTGTGTCTCACCAAAGCTGCTTCTTCCTTAGAGCTTTAAAAGCAAAGGCAGTGCACCCTCACAACTCAGATAAGCATGCATGTCATTGCCAAGGTTTGCATGCTTTTTCCTCTTGTTGTCTAGGTTATTAACATGGACATTTGAGGTAATAGGCTGCCAAAAGAGAGAAAAAAAAAGTTACCCTATCACTGACACATTACCTCAGAAACAGCTCTTCAATTGTTGTTTTTTCCTTCCTAGTTTCCTAATTCAACTCATAAGAAATACTAATGTAGGTTAACAATTTAATTTGATCAACCATCAAGCATTCAGAAAACACTTTGTAAAGTTCTCTTTTTTGGGGAAAATGATGAACATTTCAGAAATAGATATATAGATGGATGCAAAATCAATTTTTCAGAAGTTATGACAAAACCAAATCAAGGTTGCCTGTGCAACTATAATTGTAAATCTTCATGTCTATTTGTTAGCAGGTGATTTTTAATTTTTATCATCAAATATATTTACTACTGTGTCCCTGTCTCATATGGCTGATGGCCACTGGATGATTTCTACTCATATGTTAAATAGAAGATAAGCTTCCTTGTCTTCCAGTGGTTGTCTAACTCTGGCCCCACTAACAATTGTGAGGAAATCCCTGTTCCCTCCCTGCAGCCCCCAAATGGATCCTTCTTAATTGCTCTGTGGTGCAGGGGAAGCTTGACATACAGGAGCTGTGAGGAGAAGGTGCATGTCCTGTAGTCAGGGGCTATAAAACACCAATGTGAAGCTCACATCGGTTCTCTCCTGAGCAGCTGCAAAGATACTGAGCCTTCTCAAAGGCTCAACTTTGACAAGGGCACGTGGATTTTCTTTGAGATGTGAGCATCCTTCGCTCAGCAGCTAGCCCATCCTAAATGCCCCTTCCTTGGAGCCAGGAGGGCATCCTTAGGGTATGTCTTTCTTTTAGGGAGGAGGGTGAATTGGTCTCCTACCCACAGCTGCCAAATGTGTATTTTCATGTGCCCTTTGTCTGGGCTTGGCGTCGTGAGCAGGGGAAGAGAAAGGGAGGCACTGCTGTGGGTTGGGACGGGCAGCCCTGCTGGGCAGACAAAGAGAGGGGAGGATTAGGGACGAGGGCAGCAGCTGCAGGAAGATTTGACGTGAGTGCTATGAAACGGTTTAACAAGAAATGAATGAGAACTGTGTAACTGGGAAGAAAGGGGCATTTATTGCTTGGGGGACAGCCACACTGAGCAGGTGACAACCTCTTTATTGCCATGGCAAGCAGCAGGACCAGAGGG